GAGGGACGGACTGTCATCTGTACTATACATCAGCCCTCGTCTCCAGTCTTTGAACTCTTCGACAGTCTATTACTTATGGCCGACGGAAGGGTAGCTTTCATGGGGTCCATCGGTATTGTGATTCATTGCTATAATAATTATAATATCTAAATGTATGGCACTTTTAGGTGACGCCAAGAATTTCTTTTCATCGCAAGAATTAGTAAGACTTGGATTACTGTTGGATACAAATTGTAACTTTAATTTCATTTTTTAAAACAGTTTTGCCCAAACACCTACAATCCATGCGATTATTATTTAAAGCAACTGGGTGAGACTTATATTTGTAAATAACTGAATAGGAGTTGGTTTTTTACATTTATTTGACGCCCACAACAGCCATAACACACACTAATTATTCGCAAACCAAACGCAAAGTTAATGTAATTTTTCTCATAATTTCATGTCTTTTAAACCATTAATTTATTCAAAGTATTTAAAAATACAGCAAATTTGCGACAATTATCTCGATTCGGGTTATTCTGATATCACGATCAATGCGAATGAAAACAACACTCGAGGAACGCCTACATTAAATAAACCGATTCTGAGGTCGGGCTATAGGGCTGGTTATTGGCGACAATTTGTGACACTATTGTGGCGCTCGTATATAACCCTAATCCGTAATCCCCAATTGCTACTAGACCGATTCGTTATGTATTTGGTAAATATTAGCCATGTCAATTTTTGAACACTAATTTCCAATGGTTATGTATAAATATATGGCAGGTTAATGTATTCTGGTTTGGCCTCATGTTTTATAATATTGGACACGCCTACTCAGATGCGAGTAATATCATGGGAGCACTTATTTCGGTTATCCAAGGCAGTGTTATGCCACCCTTATATTTTGCTTTAGTGGTAATTATTAAAATATTATGCGGCGCTCACAAAGTACGTGCACACGGTGAAAGGGGAATTACGCCAATGCGTGTACCACCATGGTAAATTAATTCGTACAATGGGCGTGATGGGGAAGGGATGGGTCATTTTTTCATTAATTTTGTTTACGAACTTTGTGAACGCCGTCCTAGGTGATTTTAAGCATATATTTTCTTTATATATTGTAAGACATCATTAGAGGAGCAGTCACTGATGTATAGGGAGCACCACAACCGTACGTACGCTGTGTTACCATATTTGTTGTCGACCATTGTTATCCAGGTTGTATATTAATATCTGTTTTTGGCTAGCTGGTATTAATAAATTTTAATTAGAAATGAGTATGAAAGTCTCATAAAATGTCTAATTAAAAGAGATTGTCACAAGTTAATACTAATATAGCTAGAGTACCATTTATCCATTAATACACAACAAGATATCACAATGCTAATTTAAATTCTCTATTTATTTATCAAACAGTTGACCGTGAATATATTAATAAATGCAACATATTTAGTGATTATGTATTTCACTATTGGTTTCTATCTCAGCCCGCTTGAATTTTTTATATTCCTGGGTGTTTCACTACTATTAGTGGTATGCGCCGGAAATTTTGGTAATTATTTATTTGTTAAAAATTCAATAATTATATCAGAGTCATTGATTGGACTTAAATGTATAAATATGGTTTATTAAGAACGTGTTTAAACATGTTAATGATTAGATGTTTATATGATTAAACATTTCGATTGTAATTTCCGGGTATTTAATTATTTGTTTAATTATTACAGTATGAACTGTTTAAATGTTATTTTGAATTAATACATAAAATTATTTACAAACATACTCAATATAAATAAGCAGTATACTAGATTTTAAAACAATTTTCAATCAAATTATTATTTTTTTTATTAAAATAGGAATGCTACTATCATGTCTCACTAAGGACCTGGGCACTGTATTAGCTATTCTGCCAGTGCTCGAGACAATGTTGAATGTATTAAGTGGCTATTATATTACCGTCAAGTATTCAAACTATTTAATATTTGATTTATTTAATTATAGTATTTTAATTTTACAAATTGTTAGTACACTACCCGGGTGGTTGAATTGGGTCCCGAATTTATCATTTTTATATTACGGATACCAATCAGTGGTTTTAAACGAGTTTCGAAATATAGGAAACATATCGCCCATAAACACCACAAACACCACACAATCGACCACTACTTATACCTCCGGAGTAGAAGTGATTGAATCCCAGGGTTTCGATGAGTCGGCGCTCATGTGGTGTCCGTTTGCGCTCATGGCCTGGGCTTTGGTTTATATGTTCGTCGCGTATATCGGCTTATGTCGGAAAGTCCGACGCAAACAGTGATGGAGTCCACCCCATAGGAGGCGCTGCACCCACACTGATATATAATTACCCGATTATTATGTTTTAATATTATATATTTATAATAATTAAGATTACAATTTAAAATACAATTGTTAATGGTTTATAAATATAATATTATATAGGAACACAAACATAAAATATAATTTAGTTAGCATAATTAATTATATTCAAATAGAAACTAGAGTATATCCATGTAACAAGTTAAATTGAATATTTTCTAACATTTAATAAAGTTTTAAAAAGGTAATTTCTAATAATTTTACTCGAAGTGAGACAGGTTAATCATTAATTAATTTTTTTAAAACTAATTAAAATTAAATTTTTTTGATAACTATTTGATAAGTTGCAGTTTTTAATAAAACAATTTAAATACCGTATTATTTAAATTTTAAAAATATTTTCATTAGTAATACGAGATTTAGAAAAATAAATAAATATAATCAACAGTCAACGGGGCAATTTTAAAAAAATATTTTGTTTTTAGGCTATTTATTATATTTATTAATAATTACAATTGTATAATCATTCTACAAAGTATAAAAATTCAAATAATGTTTGTAACCAAATACAAACTGTCCACAGTTTGGTTGCGAGCACTGGTAGACAGGCTTTCCCTTCATATGAACACCCATTATATCTGAGTCAATATAACGGATGATACCTGACATATAGGCTTATCTTTCGCTTCTTGCAAGCATTTTTTGCTTACAACTAAATATCAAAATCTTTAGTGTATAAAGTCTATG